TAACTGTAAGGACTATATCTATGCTTGTGACAAAGGGACAAAGATATAGAATGCCAATGTATTTTATCATTAATACGAATAAAGGTTCGTTTATTACAATAATAAATACGAAAGACCACAGCCACATGTTGGCTTGTTGGTCACCTACTCTAACAGGGGTGTGTTTGGACATGGAAATAGCTAAACATAATAGGGTTTGGAGCATATGTTTTTCACTCTGTCGCTCACGTTTTAAATAGGGAAGGGAAATTTCAATTTCAATAATTTGAAGTTCTCTAGGATTATTTTACACGTGCACGTTAGATGCTACACCTAGTTACTTACATTGTGTGGATTTTTGGTGTAGTTCCTTTCGCAGATTATAAATTTACGATTTCAAAACAAATTTTCAGATTTGTTTTTTTGGGATTGTAATTGGAATATAATGAAATTCCAATTTTCGACCAAATTTTAATTTTCAAAAAAAATTATATCTTTATTTTATATTTGTTATGTATTTTATAAGTGAACAACAAAATGAGATTCTCGAATTCTAATATAAAAAAGTTCGATTCTGGAACAATTTTTTTATTCCATTCTTCTTCTTTATAATTTTCGATTACTAATTATTTTTCTGCAAAGGATGTTATCTCACATCGATTTTCACATGTAATATATCGATGTTAGCCGGGGCATTATATACCAATGGTTTATGCATTCTCACTAACCAGAAGCCAATCTCCATTGAAGGGGAATAAGGAAAGCCTTAAACTCACCGGAAAATCACCTCAGTACCTAACACGATTTTCGCTTCAACTGTCGTTTATCTCGACAGTTTGATAAAACACACTAAATATCTCTTTGAATAAAGGATAACCAGTTGAACAAGTAGATTACAATTACAATTACAGATTGAACCACTCACCGGCCGGGTGATGTAGAATTATCTCTTGTGGTTAAAAAGGGTTACGAATACAGAACATACTACACAACAAGAAAGTGACGGTAGTTACCTACCTAGTCTCGTCGAACAAACTCGTAGAGTACGGAAGCAGTTCCACTTTATTGAGGAAATTGATAAACGCATTTCAACTACTAGGCAAAAGAACACCCTTCGGAAACGAGGATGTCCCGTTATTGACAGCTCCATCAATGCCCAAAATCGCAGTAACCAAATTGTATATGAACATTCTCGAAAGACGGAATCTTTTTACCGACAGCAAATTCCGGTCCATGGCCAATAAAAATAGTCCTCATCGAAAAAAACGCATTGTCGTAACCATGGGCACCTCCACATTCTTGAATCTTCGAATTCTTCTGCTCCACCTTAAACCCTTCTTCCACCAACCCAATAATCGGTGGGATTCTGTAACTATCCGAATAGTGCAATCTACTCGGCAAATCCTCCTTTAAATAAACCTTCAAATACTCGCCGTTATTCACTTTACCCGACTTCAAACCCTCGTTCATCTTATCCACAACATCAGCCAAAGAATAATTAGCCGGTGGGCGAATCGCGAGCAATGGAGTGTAAGACTGAACCCATTCCGTCGGAATATCGATCCAATTAACCAAATCGTCTAAAAAGATCATCTTTTTATCACAAGTGCCAACCATGCCATGATCACCCACCATAATCATATGGACATCCTAAAAGATCCCTCTCTCTTCCAAACCGGTTATCAATCTTCCGATCAATCTATCTATATTAGCAACCGCTTCAGTAATCTGTTTATCGTCGGGCCCCACCTGGTGACCCTGGTGATCGGGATCCTGGAAATACAGCGTCATGAACGAAGGGATTTCATCGCTCGGCAAATCGAAGTAGTTCAATACGGTATCGACCCTGTCATCGAACGGTACGAATTCGTTGTAAAACATACAGGGGAAATCCCATGAGCCGTTGTGCAGCTCAGAGCCAGGCCAGAAGTAAGTCGAAGCCTTCAAGCCGTGATTCGCTACGGTCTCCCAAAGCGGCTCGCCCAGCCACCACTTCGGCTCGTGGCTGCCCATGTTGAATTTTTCGCCGGTTACGGGATCGGAGAATTTGTTGTTGATAACGCCGTGGTAAGCTGGGTACAAGCCAGTGACAATGGAGTAGTGGTTGGGGAAAGTCAACGTTGGGAAGACGGGGATCAACCCGTGCTCGGCTTCGGTCCCGTTTTGGATCAGCCAATCGATATTCGGAGTATCCGTTTTGAATTGGTACCCGAATCTGAACCCGTCGGAAGAGATCAGTAGAACAACTGGGTGTTTGAGCTTCAAGAGAGATCTCGAGACCGAAGTGGTGGAAAGGGAGTCGGCGGCGGAGAAGAAGAGAAAGGCGAAGGCGACGGCGGCGGAGAGAGAGAAGCAGGTGGAGGTGACGAGGCAGACGAAGAGAAGTGTGGTGGTTACTGGTTTGCGAGGGGGTTTGGAAGAGGGGTTTTTCGTAAGGGGTGGAGGGTAAAAGGGCGGATTTGGAGGATGAATTCGAAATCGGAAGCTCGTTTTCTGCTTCTTCTTCTTCTTTAGTTGAGATCGGCATTGGCTTTTGTTCGTTTCGGGTGAAGATGAGTGCTGAATTGGAAGCCATGTGAACTGAATTGAAGAAACGCTCCGAGATTCTGGGGTTAGGTCAGAGGTTCAACGATGAAGATGGTTTTTTTTTTCTGTAGAATTAGGGGGAATCTAGATTTTTGAACTTTTGAAAGTTGGGGTTTTCCCTCTGTGCTGCGTCGGAAAGTAGTGAACTGGAGGAAATGACAGCTGACGGTGGTTGGTTGGTGGAGATGCTCTCCGCCAAGTGGGTAGGTAGATGAAAACTTATGTTATTGAATTGCTATTTGCAGTTTATAACAAAACCCTCTGAAAAACACTTTATCTCTCTAACACCCCACAATTTCCCAAAAAAATCCAAACCCCCCCCCCCCCAAAACGCGTAAAAGCCCAACTTGGGCGCCCATTCATGCAGTGAACGTCCAAGTTGGGCGTGCAAGATGCATTTGGGCGCCCGAGTTAGGCGTCCAGTGCAATTTTTTTTGAACTCCCAAGATGGGCTTTCGTACACGTCTGAATGCCCATCTTGGGCGTTCGAACATTTTTTTGCGAAAAAAAAAATCCATACAAATCGATTTGTAGGGCTTTTTAACATGAAATTGCTTCTGTAATCGACCTACCCAATGCATATTACACATAAAAGAGTCGAAATTACATAAAAAATTGAAGCCCAACCCTTCTTCAAGCTTGATTTCGAATTTTTCTTTTTTTTTGGATATTTTTAAAAGTTTTGGGGGATTTTGTTATAAAACGCAAATAGCGATTTCGTGACTGTAAATAGCATATCATTTGGATAAATCGCGGAAAAATCCTTACTGTGTGCATAATTACAATCCCCCATCAAATATATATTGTCCTTTCTTACGACGTCTAATTTATCTAGGGATGTTCATTGAGCCCATAAATCGATTGAATCGAACATAACGAAAATTATTATATTCAGTTTTATTCTATGCAATATTAGTATTTAAACTAAAATTAATTAAAAAAAAATCAAAAAATCAAAATTTTAAATATGTTTAATAAAATTTTGGTAATTCGGTTATTTTGGTATGAATTTCTTACCCCACAATTTGTGTACAAATAACAAGGTTTTTTTCCGTAATTTGACCTTCTCTCGTGGGTGGTCGTAGTTTGCCATGTTATCCTTTATTTTGATGTGATTAATTATATATATAAAAAATCCAAACATTTAAAAAAAAAATTGTTAAATCTAATAATAAGTTCACAAAACAATGCCTTACAAGACCTATGCATATTGATTGGGCAACGGCCCAATATTAGTGGACCAATCGGAGCCACACAAAAAAACCCGTACCCGCTCCATATGACGAAACATAAAACCCGGTTTCCTCCGTAACGACGTCGTATGGCCAAGCCCAATTTCCCCTGCCGAAGCACCGCCGAGTGAAATTGTTGCTGAAAATGGCAGCATATGTAAGCACCTAACACGATTCTCCGAAGCCGTCTCGTATCAGGATGGCCAATCCCTCAGCCGTGTCCTGCAACTCCCCCTCTCTCCACTCCCTCGCCGACGCCCTCAACACCTACCAGGTCTAATTTCTCGTTTTATACTCTCAATTTCACGGCTTTGAAGTATAGGTAAGTTGTGCTTCTGCATAGTAATTAGGTTGGGTGATGTGGTACTGAAGTTTGATTCTCTGGTGAATCTGCACATCTGCAAGTAGCTCAAAGTGTGGTTGGAAAGAATATGATTTCTGGCAGTAAACTATGTTGAAATGCTAATTTCGGTATATAATTCATAATTGTGAATTGACATTGCAAGGCAACTTTCTGTATTTAATTTTGCTTCAATCATTTTGTTTCTTCACGTATAAGCTTTTATGCTATAGGTTAAAGTGTGGATTCTCAATAAGTCAATTAACAGTTAAATTACTGTCTCCGACAGTTAAATAACTGCTGGAGACAGTAATTTAGCAACGAATACAGTAATATTAATTAAAATATTTTTTTTAAGAATAAAAAAATCACCTAACAGTTAAATTAATGTCTCCGACAGTTAAACAACTGCCGGAGACAGTAATTTAGAATACAGTAATATTAATTAAAATATTTTTGAAAAAAAAAAACAAAAAAAAAGTCAATTAACAGTTAAATTACTGTCTCCGACAGTTAAATAACTGCCGGTGACAGTAATTTAGCAGCCAAGACAGTAATATTAATTAAAATATTTTTTTTAAGAAAAAACAAAATTATATTAAAAAAAAAAAGTCAGGCAGTCTCCAGTGGTGGCGGATCAAAATTGGGGTCAAAATTAAAATTATGGTTAAAATTGGTTAATTGATGAAATTTGGCTAAATTGTGATGTAAAAATCATGAAATTGGAGTTGAATTGAGGTAATTTTAGTATATATAAAAAGATTTTCCTTATTTGCAAATAAGTTTGAATGGACTGAATTTATTTGAAAGACAAAAAAGTTGGATTAAGTGCCCCCTTGTCATTGGCCTATTTGCCATTTACCCCGTATTATAACATGATATTTATTTAATAATTTATTTGCTATCATATTTTAAATTTCTACAACTAATAGGGAAACGAAAAGGTCAAAAAAGGAATCATGTGGCGCATGTTAGCAAAAGCTGTGTTTATGAAATGCAACCACCGAATCTCAGCCTTATAAATACCCCACCACCACCACTTCCCAAATTCCCCTCCCCCCGCCAGAAAACCTCCATTGATTCTCTTCCGACCTTCAATTTCCCACACACAGTCACACAACAATGAATCAGATCCATCTCTCTGCAAATCAATTCGTGATAGAAGCCTCGGTTGCGGAATCTATTGCCGAATCACTGAACCTCCCCTCCGTGCTCCACCTCCTCCCCCACCTCGTCCACTCCGCGCAGGCCTTGGCCCGGCCCCCAATCTCCAATTTCAATGTCGGCGCCGTCGGTCTCGGCTCCGACAGCCGCGTATTCGTCGGCGTCAATCTCGAATTCCCCGGCCTGCCGCTCCACCACTCCGTCCACGCGGAGCAGTTCCTCCTCACGAATCTCGCCGTCCACCGCTGCCGCCGCCTCCTCTCCTTCGCCGTCTCCTCCGCCCCGTGCGGCCATTTCCGCAAGTTCCTGCAGGAACTCCGCCACTGCTCCTCCGTCCAAATCCTCGTCATCAATGAAGAGAATTGCGCTCAGAACATTGACCATGTAGAGAATCGCAAACCCTTATCCAAATTTTTACCCAATCCGTTCGGCCCGCACGATTTGCTCGATCACGAATGCTGGCTTCTGCTCAATCAACACGACAATTGGCTGGATCTATTGCCCCCAAATGCCGTCAATTCTGTAATTTCGGTGGAGAAGGAAGGTGCTAAGGTCAGGCATGAAGATACTGCAAGGCTTGTGTTGAAGGCAGTTTCGCCCAAGTGTGATTTTCGGGTATTTTACTGTCACTCTGGCTGAAAAAGAAAAAGTACCGAAAACACGAATAAACCTCTGGCTATTCACGATTCGAATTCCGGTGATCTGGGATTAAGATTAATGCAACTGTAGATTCGATCTTGCAAATTATTATTTATGATGATCAATGAATAACTGCAATTTTTGTTTTTCTCGAGTTTTGCTGTTGTTGTTCCTCTGTATTTCCTATTTGTACTACTTGTCAATTACAACTGATCATTGAGCTTTGTCTATAAGACTATAACATCTTATTCTTCATCTTTGCATCGAGTCCTCGATTCTACAACTCCGTATATTCTCTGTTTGCTGCGTCTTTTCGGATATGGAGATGTTTTTTTTGCTTCCATTATGCAATTATTTTGTCTTGGATTGGTGTTCAAACAATTTTAAAGTAGTTCATGCGAGTTGGATGTGTATTTCATCTCTGGTAGAGCATTCTGAGTTGTATGAAATAGCAGATAATCGAAGACTGATTGATTATGCGTGACAAGTTGTATGAAAATGAAATGTTCGTTTAGTTTAAGCCATCTGTCGATACTGAAATTTGATTGTATAGTGAGCGTCCATCAATTGGATCGTAGACAGAAAGAATCTTCATCGCCATTGGTGCATTCAGTTGGTTTTAGATGCTTTGAGCATATATTCCTATTCATACGCATCCATCCCTGCATTGGTCAAGTGCGTTTGCTAGCATTGTTTCTAAGATAGTTGAGCTTGACCGAAGATCACACAAAAGATATATTCAATTTCGAGTGTTACAAATATAGCTTTTAGTATTCACTATTCAATCCCGGCGCGGAACAAAAAAGCCAAACACAGACCAGCAAAGCTGGTGTCCGTCCCATGAAGGGTCGTGTTATCCTAGTACGAATTAAGAAACAAAAAAGAAAAACGAAAATAAAAAAACTATTGCATTTTTTCTTGAAAAGGCAGCCACGAATACGACGATGCTGAACAAATCCAGTAGTTAAATCAAGCACCTCGAATCTCGATTCATAAGCATATATATCTTCGATATGTACAAATGATAACCAAGCACCGATAGCTAAGTTGTGGATGCTTTTAGCTATTCATTCTTGATGGTGGGACATGTTTTTTTATTTTATTTTATTAACTAATGTTGTCAATGTAATGTTCTTACATTCAATAAATTCAATTTCCGAAGACTTTCTTGAAAAAAAGATTCTTGAAAAAAGCATGGATCATCAACTTGTATATATGAACACACATTTATTTAATCTCTCTAGATAACTATTGCAATTAATGAATTCTATTTAATGCAGAAAGTACGAGAGAAATGATATTCGATATTTTCTACATGCTCTTCAATTTAGGACTCACCGCGTATTTGATTGGAAACATGAATAATTTAGTGGTCCACGGGACTAGCAAGACTAGGCAATTCGTAAGTTTTTTATTTATTTATTTTGAAATAAAAAGTTAGCAACTATCTAACTATCGATTTAATTTCATCAATGAATAACTGCAGTTCATTGATATGTGATTAAATTATTGCAACTGTAGATTCGATCTTGCAAATTATTATTTATGATGATCATGAATAACTGCAATTCTTGTTTTTCTCGAGTTTCGCTGTTGTTGTTCATCTGTATTTCCTATTTGTACTGCTATGTCAATTACAACTAATCATTGAGCTTGTCAATAAGACTGTAACATCTTATTCTGCATCTTTGTATCAAGTCCTCGATTCTACAACTCCGTATTTTTCTCTCTTTCCTGCATCTTTTCTGATATGGAGATGCTTTTTTGCTTCCATTGTGCAATTATTTTGATGTTGGATTGGTGTTCAAACAGTTTTAATGTACTTCATGCAAGTTTGATGTGTATTTCATCTGTGGAAGAGTATTCTGAGTTGTATGAAACAACAGATAACCAAAGACTGATTGATTATGCCTTACAAGTTGTACGAAAATGAAACGTTCGTATTGAAATTTTGATTGTATATCGAGCGTCCATCAATTGGATCATAGAAAGAAATAATATTTATCGCCACTGGTGAATTTATGTATTGAATGTAGGTGCATTCAGTTGGTTTGAGATGCCTTGAGCATATATTCATTCATATTCATAGGCATCCATCCATCCCTGCATATGTCAAGTGTGTTTGCTAGCATTGTTTCCAAGATAGTTGAGCTTGACCGAAGATCTATTCAATTTCGAATGTTACAAATATAAGCTTTTAGTATTCACTATTCAATCCAGACGCAGAACAAAAAAAAGCAACCACAGACCAGCAAAGATGGTGTCCGTCCCATGAAGGGTCGAAGTTATCCTAGTAAGAATTAAGAAAAGAAGAAAAAAAAAACTATTGCATTTTTTCTCGAAAAGGCAGCCACAAATACGACGATGCATAAGCATATATATCTTGGAAATGTACAAATGATAACCAAGCACCCATAGCTAAGTGTTGGCTGCATTTAGCTATTCGTTCTTGATGAATGGAAGCACGTCACCTCTCATAACTCTCCAAGGCCCTCGGTAAAACATTGGCTTCAATAAAGGAACAGATTCCCCAGGGTGTGTGATACGCGTTTTCCTCACGTATAAATTACCGCAAGTATACAATATCGCATTTTGCAGAACAGTGGTTCCGTATATCGATCCACAGGGACCTTGTAGATTCACATGCTGAGTAGTGTAATTACATTATCGTTATATTATCTAGCCGAACGTAAATATTTGGAATTGTGAGAAACCCTAATTTAAAAGCATGCAAGATCGTAAACATGAAAATATAGAATGTACGTAAATAAAGTAACGACAACTCAACGCGGGGGGACTTCGATTTAAAGGGGATTTCTAGGGCCAAATCCACCTATGTATAATCAACAACGATCTACAAATCCGTTATCTAATGCCACATTCCTATTCGTTAACCCAAACTCTAATGTACTCTAACCCCCGTCTCCAGTGTAGTTAGATTCTACCCACAGGTCCGACGTCTCCGTTCAGAACTTGCTATTAAGAGGGCATTTAGGTCAAGTCCTTAAGGGCTACCCGAAGTGCATCATGTCTCCGTTTCCACACCCCGAGCTATATTTTCCTAACTTCAAACAAGAAATCCTCTCTCGAGTTCATTCCTATTTAATATCAATCCGAGAGCTGATCAAACAATCAGAAGCATTTAATACAGGAAAACATAAACGAAATCAAAACACGACAAATAGATAACAGAAATGACGATCGAAATCAATATATACAAGGCTTCATTACCCTAGAAGAAAATGTTCTTAGTTCATAACAAACATAGTATCAAAAGAATGTACAAAGGAAATGAAGAACAAAACGTAAAGAAATTGCGTAAGAAAAACCCTAGTCGGAACCCCCGTTGATGATTCCCACAAAGAACTGTCGAAAACCGTAAAAAGTCGAAGAAGGAATGAAGAATGAAAGGGCCTTTCTATTTGTAGTGAAATGCAAAGCTTCCTCAAGAAGCTTTGAAAAATAAAATATCTTCCTCAAAAAGCGTGCCCAGATCGCGATCCAGGAATGTGGATCGCGATCTGGATCTTGAACCATTTCAGCTCTGTCGGACCCCCCAGATCGCGATCCGACTTCCTGGATCGCGATCTGGATCTTCAATCATTTCAGCTCTGTCGGACCCCCCAGATCGCGATCCAGAATGTTGGATCGCGATCTGGGTCTTGATCCATTTTCGTATTGTGACAACCCCCAGATCGCGATCTGGAGATTTCAGATCGCTATCTGGGTCTTCTTGGCCCCAAAATTAGCTTGAAAATTTGGTTTCGCTTTCAAATGGCTTCGACTCGGCAAAAATACCTAATAAAACCCTAAAATAGAAATAAAACAAGAAACACAATAATATATACAAATAAAGCCGAAACTCGGACGAACGAAGACCAAAACTCGAAGATTTGATAAGCAAAAATCGTGCAAAACGAACACTTATCACACCCTCAAACTTAGATCTTTACTCGTCCCGAGTAAATCAAAACGAAACAACAACAAAAAGGAAATAAAAACAACAAACTAAACTAGGCCACTAACGTAGGGAATCACGATTGCATTTAGCGTATGCAACAAGCCTTTGAACCCCTAGATACCCCCAAAGGACGAGTTGTGTCTCGTGAGGGTTTTCAGACAACACACCCACAAAGTTGCCGGATTGGTCAAAGCATTGCAATTAATTCCAAAGATAAAACGAGCTAGATAACCTAAAATCTCAAAATGGCATACAGCTTAAGGTATTCGACTTTCCTACCGAGGCAATTAGTTGTTTCTACACCAAAATGAAAGATAGACTCAAGAATCCATAATTAAACAATAAACACAATCATCGAGGGTTTTGAGTAGAAATGTGGTTGAAAAGCAAGTTTTGATTCTGAAATTCAAAAACTCGAGTTGGGCATAAGTAGGTCTATTTATTCAATAAGAAATGACAACAACAATATATTGTGATTTTCATCACAAATTTTTTTTTTTTTTTTTTTTTTTGACATAAAATAAAAACGTAAAGACCATTGATAGAACTTTTAGCCAACAACTCGAAATCGTGAACACATAATTCAATTCTAACTCGCCCCCCAAACCTCAGGCTATTATACCCCTCAGAAAAGTGCGCTCAAGCTTAATCAGAAAGGATTCGAAAGGCTATCCACACAAGTTGCAAAAACGCAGTCGGAAGGTTCATCTATAATTATCCGGTTATCCATAATTTTAATTTTAAAATAAACTAGCCCATCTACTAATTCATTAATTGCTTTGCTTCAATAGAACCCGGAAATGCAAATTACACTCGATCCTAAATGAAATGCATGTGACAAACATAACACAATTACGGAAATCAAAATACATAAACGAAACTAAATTATATGATATGCATGCAAAAGACCAAATCAAAATAAGATATATAAAATGAAATAAAAACAAAGTCTAGCAAAGATACATCGTAAACGAAATATCAATCCAACGACTTATCCCAAAACAAACGAACTAAAAACAAAAACAAAAACAAAGAGGTTCAACAAACCACCCTCAAACTCAAACTCTAGCATAGTCCCTATGCTCACAAGCAGAATAAAAAATAAAAGGGAAAGAAAACACAACGTCCCTAGAAGTCATGGTCTTCCTCGATAGCTTGGTCCTCGTCCTCTCAAAGTCCACTTTCGTGCTCCTCCCAGATGGGCCTCACCAGGGTGGTGGCTGCCGCTCGTGCAGCTTCTTCTGCGGCTGCGGTGGAGGTAGATACTCCGTCAAAACGAGGCCGTGGTGGGAATGGTCGTGGCTCGACGACGTCGTCCGTCCTGCACTGGAGTGCTGCTGCCATCACCTTGATCATCTTCTTGAACAAGCCCACGTTCTCCTCCATGGCATCCATCCACTCGGTCATGTACTCCGGAAGTGGCGGAGCTGCTGCTGCTGCTGTCTGCTGCCTTTATCCGCCTCGTGGTGCGGCTCGAGATGGTCGGGAATCCTCGGATGGTGGCGCGTCTGGCTCAGGGCCATCGCCCTCGCCCTGTGGACCGGAAGCTGGCTGGAGCTTGTCGAACGGGAAGATTGGCTTCGGAGCCTTTGTGACCTTTTCGTCGGCAAACATCGCCACGTTGGCATTTTTGCATAAGGTGGTGATGAGGGAGGGGAACATCGGGCCCAAAGAGGTGTCGCCCATGCACCGTCGAATCTCTGAGTGGATAATGGCACCCACGTTCAGAGAGGTGCCCTTCATGATTGCGTATATCAACGTGAGGCGAGTGGCATAGGGCTTGGCCGTTGCAACCGTCGGCATGAGTCGGGAGTAGACGAAATACATCCAAATCTTTGCCTCTCGAGAGAGCTCGGCTCGATAGAACGACTTATCTCCTGATGCCCAATACGATCCTCGGGGGCACAGGGTCTGAATGAGGTCCTTGTACGTCGTCTCCATCTTCAGTGCCTGGAACGGCTCGGTCGGAATGTCTGGAACACGGGGGGGGGATAAGCTTGTAGACTCGGTTGATGGCTTCTCCGTCATAACGAACTTCGACGCCCCGGATGAAAACCACCGAGCCTTTGTACTGACCGGCATTGGCGTAGAAGAGCCGGACCAAGTTCTCGTTGTAGGTGCCTGGTTTGTCGACGAGTGCTCTCCACCACCTTTCGTGGATGTTGTCGACGACCGAGGGGCATCCAATCGTACGGACACACAACTCACGTTCTGGGACGATCGGACGAGGGAGGCGGTCGATAAATTCGCTCTTGGCTTCGACATTCACATAGATGTCTTCATCGTGTTTGTCAAAGGTGACTTCGCTCACGAGCATGCGTTGATTGGCACGGGCGCCCGTGTTGTGTGGCACGTCACCGGTTCTTGGCATGGCTTGCTCGGTTGGTCCCTCCGAATGTGAAGGCGAGAGTGAAGAGCTTCTCCCCTCTTTTTGCTTGAGCCTTGCCCTTCTTCTTTTCCGGTGCTTTTCCTTCGCCATTCGGTTGGGATTTTTTGGAACTCTCGCCCGTCTTTTGGAGTTTGTTTGCCGGTGAAGTCATGGTGTGAATGAGGGTGCAAAATGAAACTTGAAATTGGTTCGGACAATTCATCGAACACTTGGCGTGCACAAGTTCTTTGAAACTCCTTGAATGTTAGTTTCTTTCGAAAATTAACCCTCCTATATCAATCACCACAACAACAACAATTAATAACGATCAACGAGCAAAAATTAGCATAATATGACTCGACCCATTAAAAAATTCACAAGAAATTCGAAATTAAGCATAATAGGGCAATTCCTATATCTAAACATTGGTTCAACCAATTAAACAAGTCTTTAAATCCCAAAATCAAGTACCTAATTACGTACAAGCAATAAGAATTGAAGAACCAAGGGACAAAACAAGAAAATTGGATGAAATTCGAATTTTCAAGCAAAACTTAAAAATTTGGGTCAGGAACATACCTTTGTTGAAGATTCGTCCACAATTCTCAATATAAGCAAGCAATAATCGTTAATAGTTGATGAAAATCTAAGAATATGCAAGTTTGAAGAGGAAATTTGAAAGAAAATCGAAGTTCTAGGGTTGGGGGAAAGGGGTTTCGAGTTTTGTAAAAGAAAGAAGTGAGAAAAAGAGGGTTTTTTTTTTCGATTAAGTACAGTTTTTTTTTTTCCCCAGATCGTGATCTAGAAGAGCCGAATCGCGATCTGGGTCCGCTACCTATTTGCTCTCGATAAGACCCCCCAGATCGCGATCCGGCTTTCTGGATCGCGATCTGGATTTGCCCCACTTTGCTCTCTGTCAGACCCCCCAGATCGCGGTCCCACTTTCTGGATCGCAATCTGGATCTGACCCCAATTTGCTCTCTGTCAGACCCCCAGATCGCGATCCGGCTTTCTGGATTGCGATCTGGATTTACCTCAATTTCTTCTCTGTAAGACCCCCAGATGGCGATCCCACTTTCTGGATCGCGAACTGGATCTTGTAATCTGCACAAAATTTGAAATTTAAATGGGTGAGATGGAGATATTGAACCCAAAAAATATAAAAATGCAAGAAAAGACTAAAAACAAAAACGAAAGCAAGAACAAAAGAAAAATGACAGAGAATGAGCATTAATGGGGTGCCTCCCATTTAGCGCCTGTTTTACAGTCGACGGCTCGACTTCTTTTGGATTTATTGGGAGAAAATTAGTGCGACACGCTCCACTTCCTCGGAAGCACCATTTGGATAGTAATGCTTAACTCGTTGCCCATTCACTTTGAACGACGGACCGTCTCGTCCTCGTATTTCGATAACTCCTTGTGGGGTTGCGCTCAGGCCTACGAATGGTCCTGACCAACGGGACTTGAGCTTTCCCGGAAATAGTCGTAGCCGAGAATTGAATAGGAGGACTTGGTCACCTGCCCGGAACTCTCGCTTTGTAATCCTTTTGTCACGCCACTTTTTCGTCTTTTCTTTGTAAATCTTGGCATTCTCGTAAGCATCGTTTCTGAACTCCTCCATTTCGTTGAGTTGAAGCAATCGACGATCGCCGATGGCTGTTTGATCGAAATTGAGCTTTTTGACTGCCCAATAAGCTCGGTGCTCCAATTCCACTGGCAGGTGGCACGCTTTCCCAAACACGAGTTTGTACGGAGACATCCAAATCGGTGTCTTGAATGCGGTTCGATAGGCCCAAAGTGCATCATCGAGCTTCAACGCCCAATCTTTTCGGTTCATGCTCACGGTCTTCTCCTGAATCTGTTTGATTTCTCGGTTTGACAATTCAGCAAGGCCATTTGTTTGGGGATGATAGGCAAGCGCAATTTTGTGTCGGATCCCCAACTTGTTCGTGAGATTAGTGAGCAGTTTGTTGCAGAAGTGAGATCCTTCATCGCTAATGATCGCCCTAGGTGTCCCAAACCTTGAGAATATGTTCTTGTGGAAGAATTTGAGGACCGTACGAGCATCGTTGGCAGTGGTGGCAATCGCTTCGACCCATTTGGACACGTAGTCCACGGCAAGTAGAATGTATAACTTCCCGTTCGAAGAAGGGAATGGTCCCATGAAGTCTTTGCCTCAAACATCGAAAAGTTCCACCTCTTGCATGTTGTTCAAAGGCATTTGGCTTTTGTTGGATAGGTTCCCTGTTCATTGGCATCGATCACACCGTTTCACGAACTCGTAACTATCACGGAAAAGGGTTGGCCAAAAGAAGCCTGACTGCAGAACCTTGGCGGCTGTGTGAGATTCCGCGTGATGCCCGCCACAAGGTGAAGAGTGGCAATGTGTGAGAATCTCACGTACTTCTGTTTCCGGAACACATCTTCGGATAACACGAGCGGGGCCGGTTCTGAAAAGCAACGGCTCGTCCCATAGATAGAAACGACTGTCGTGAAGGAATTTTTTCTTTTGGTGATAAGATAGATCGTCAGGAATGATTCCACTGGCCAAGAAGTTGGCCACATCAGCATACCACGGAGTGTGAGTACTAATGGCGAGGAGTTGCTCGTCTGGGAAGGATTCCTGAATATTTCCTTCGGCTGGAACTTCTTCTAGTATGAGTCTGGAAAGATGATCTGCTACCACATTCTCGCTCCCCTTTTTGTCTCTGATTTCTAGGTCGAACTCTTGGAGTAGGAGTACCCATCTGATGAGTTTGGGCTTGGCGTCCTTCTTCGCGAACAAGTATCGAATAGCTGCGTGGTCGGTATAAATGATCACTTGAGACCCCAAAATATACGGTCTGAACTTGTCAACGGCATAAACGACAGCAAGCATTTCCTTTTCGGTCGTTGAATAATTCTTCTGTGCCTGGTCAAGTGTACGACTCGAATAGTAGATGGCTTTGAAGATTTTGTCCCTCCTTTGTCCCAATACTGCACCTACAGCATAGTCGCTCGCATCGCACATGATCTCGAATGGTTCCACCCAATTGGGAGTAATCATAATCGGTGATTGGGTTAGCTTCTCCTTGAGAAATGTGAAAGTCTGCAAATAAGCAGAATCAAAATCAAAGACGACTTCCTTCTCAAGCAAATGACATAATGGTTTTACTATTTTCGAAAAATCTTTAATAAATCTACGGTAAAACCCAGCATGCCCCAAAAAACTTCTAACCCCCTTGACATCTTTCGGTGGAGGCAATTTTTCAATCGTTTCGATTTTTGCCCTGTCCACCTCAAGACCCTTTTTCGAGACCTTGTGACCTAGAACAATACATTCACGAACCATAAAATGACATTTTTCCCAATTTAATACAAGGTTCATTTTTGTACATCTTTTTAAAACAAGTTCTAGATTGTGCACACAATGATCGAAAGAGGATCCAAACATAGAAAAATCATCCATAAACACCTCAAGAAATTCTTCTACCATATCATGAAAAATAGACATCATACATCGTTGAAAGGTAGCAGGTGCATTACACAAACCGAAAGGCATCTTAAGAAATGCAAAAGTACCGTAGGGGCAAGTAAAAGTAGTTTTCTCTTGGTCTTCCGGGGCGATTGAAATTTGATTGTACCCCGAATAACCATCAAGAAAACAGTAATACTCGAAACCTCCTAGCCTGTCTAGCATTTGATCGATAAAGGGAAGGGGGAAATGGTCTTTTCTAGTGGCAACATTCAATAATCGGTAATCGAAACACACACGCCACCAAGTGACTATTCTAGACGGAATAAGTTCATTTTTATCATTCACAATAACCGTCATCCCACCTCTTTTTGGCACAACCTGCACCGGACTGACCCATGTGTTTAAATGCATCTGTCAAATTAAAAACAACTTCTTCCCCATTTACCCTAAGCATTAAAGATCCTAATTCCATATCAATCATCGCCTTACCAGTGGCTAAGAATGGACGACCTAAAATGATTGGTGCTTCATCATCTTCAGGCATTTCAAGTACCACAAAATCAACAGGCAAAATGAATTTATCTACTTTAACTAGCACATCTTCTACAATCCCATCAGGATATTTCAATGAACGATCAGCTAGTTGTAAAGTCATGCGAGTGCGGTTCAAATTTCGTAAGCCCAGTTTTAGAAACACAGACATAGGCATCAAATTAATACTTGCCCCCAAATCACATTAAGCTTTATCGAAAGTAGAATTTCCAGTAATACATGGAATAGTGTAACTCCATGGATCTTTCATTTTCGGTGGTAGATTCGACTGAAGAATGGCACTACAAGTTGCCGTGAGTGTCACTGGTATGTCTTCTTCGATTCGAATTTTCTTGAATAGGACTTCCTTCATGAACTTGGTGTAGTTTGGCATTACCTCCAAGGCTTCTGCAAAAGGGATGTTGATTCGAATCTGCTTGATCTTTTCAATGAACTTCTTCAATTGATCCTTGAACTTCTTCTTCTTCTGTCTTTCTGGAAAAGGAATAGGAGTTATCAAAAGAGGAGGATTATCAGGGAAAAAAATGTTATTGGGCTTACTAGCCTCTTTTGTACTACTCCCTGAGATGGTGATTTCTGGCTCGACCGGGGTCGGTTGTACAGCTGGCTTTGGTGATTCGTCTGTCAGATAAGGAGGATCAGTCATTTGCAAACCACTTCGGGTGGTTATGGCTTGACAGCTTTCCTTTGGATTGACTTCGGCATTGCTCAGAAATCCGCCCTTGGCCATTGTGGACATGGATTGGGCGATTTGCCTTATTTGCTTCTCCATGTTCTTCATTGTTGATTTCAGGCCCTCCATTTCCTGTTCTTGTCGGTGAAGACGCTCGTCATACGTTGGCCCTCGTTGCTCTCTTTGATGGTTGAAATCGGGAGGTGGTTGTAGAACATTCTTTGGATTGGCATAGGAGAAGTTCTCGTGATTCCGAATTCCCGGGTGGTAATGAGTAGGGTTTTGGTTCTGATTGTTGGTTCCCCGGAAATTGTTGAATCGGTGGTTCATAAAGTGTGTCTGCTCCCAATCGTCATTTGTGGCTTGTGAGGTACTTGCTGCTGCTACTCGTTCGGTCTGTGGCCCTCGAACTGATTATTGGGCGACCTGATTTGATAGAGTAGCTAATTGTGCTGAAACTGCGGCTAAAGGATCTAGTTGGTGGACTCCGGCCAGCTTTTGTATACCACTCCGTTCGGACGGCCAATGGTAAGCATTCTCACACATTCGCTAGACAATGTCTCGAGCGTCTGTGGGAGTCTTGTTTTGCAATGATCCACCTGAGGCAGCATCGACTAGAGATCGGGCTGGTTGATCGAGCCCATTGTAGAATAACTCCATTTGATCCCACGGGTTGAATCCGTGTTGAGGGCATTGTCGTAATAAGTCCTTGAATCTCTCCCAAGACTCGTGCATCGGCTCTTGGCTCATCTGTCGATTTCCTGATTCCAGAATAGTTCTCATTCACATCTGGGGTTCGGTATTCTCGCATTGTTCGCTCGGGTGGTAGGTTCGGTCTTGGCTGCTCGTGATCTCGTCCTGGCTCTCGATCGTACTCAAAGGCCAGGTGCTCTAGATTTCCTTGATCTTCGGCCATTGGTTCACTTTGTTGGTTGCGCGCGGCCCTTCGTCTGCGAAACGTCCTTTCAATCTCGGGATCGTAAGGTATGATTTCCAAATTTCGACGCCTGGGCATAAACAAAGTGATCGGTTAAAATCAAGGTGGAAATCGAAAATAAAGCAGGTAAATAGCTAAAGTAATAGTCAGATAATTGGTAACACTATCAACAAAGATAAAATCAAATTGGTCCCCGACAACGGCGCCAAAAACTTGGTTCGCGTTTTCCTCACGTATAAATTACCGCAAGTATACAGTATCGCATTTTGCAGAACAGTCGTTCCGGATATCGATCCACAGGGACCTTGTAGATTCACATGCTGAGTAGTGTAATTATATTATCGTTATATTATCTAGCCGAACGTAAATATTTGGAATTGTGAGAAACCCTAATTTAAAAGCATGCAAGATCGTAAACATGCAAATATAGAATGTACGTAAATAAAGTAACGACAACTCAACGCGGTCCGACCGGATTCACGCACGCAACCTCCTCACCCTAGTGAATGGATTCCTCCATCGCATGGCGTGATCAAGGTGAATTTTGACGCATCGCTTCTCCCGGGACAACAATGGATCTCTGTGGCAGCGGTAGCAAGAGACGACATTGGCCAATGTGTTGGTTGGAAGGTGGTCAAAATCAGAGGCAATTTTCGACCCGTTGAAGGGTCTCAAAGCGGTGTCTATGGCAAAAGGTAAAGGCTGGACCAATATTATTCTCGAAGGAGATTGTCTGCAACTCATCAAAGCACTTCGTGATGGAGATAGTGCGACTGAATCTTTCGGAGCTATTGTGGAAGATTGCCGAAGAATATCTCAATATTTTCATTGTTGTTCGGTACGTTTTGTAAAGCGTTCGGGTAATTGTTTAGCCCACGCTATTGCTAAACTTTCATGTGATAATGTGCTCGAGGGTTTAACACTTCCCCCTGATTTAGCACACATTATCTAAATAATAAATGCTCTCTTTCAAAAAAGAATTGCAAGATTTCCAATACCGTATTTAACTGAATTGCAAAATTAATCATCTTTATAGTTATTTTATATTGCAAGATTGTTTCGTAGAAGTTATTATCTTATTTTTTTGGGTTGTTTCCTTTATTTGTTTGATTTGATTTCATTTACTAATATATAAATCTTTTGAATTTTTATTTTTTCCATAAAATAAAGTTCATGCTCAATACTATTTAAATCACTCCACATTAATTTCATTTTTATCTACCACCACTCCATTACAAAGTGCATAATGTTCGTATTATACAGTTTCATATTACATTTTTATCCTTTCTTATATATTTTTATAATTAATATGCATATTTTTATATTCACAATTATTTTTATATATACATATGAGTATTATTTGTCGTTCTTTCTTTTGGGTTGTTAATTTTAATATAATTTTTTAATTTTTTTCATGCAGTTTATTATACAAAGTCGTTCGTACTTTATGGCGATCAAAACAGTTGTTTGCGCTCAGTCCAAACTATGTGTTCTTTACAATGCGTATTCTGACCCTAATTTCGATCAATGTATGTGAGTCGCATGTAGGGAATCAATCAAAGCCGTTCAACGCTCTGGATCTTGCATTGTATGTGGGATGACTGAAATGGAATATTTCAAATCTTTATTTTGTTGTGGTTTATGCAGTGAAGCTTTTATACATGAAAGGATGTATTCCTGCCAATGGATCCACATGGAGGTGTGATTCATGTGATTGGTTATTTAATATGTGTATGTATGTACCAACCCTTTGCAATTCAAGAGAATCTCAATATTGATGATGCTGAAGGTATGGACAATGGCTCGAGATGTTATAATGCAAATAAATAGGCTAAGATTTAACAAATCGAATTACTTTATCTCTTAAGATTTGAGATATATTGGTGAAAAATAGGAGATTAATAATTGTTGAAAATTATAGTTAAAAAATTAGTAGAGAAAAAATATTAAAAATAAATAATAACATAAGTACCAATAAGCAGGATTCTTCATGCGTTAGTTTTAATTTTGATAATTGTTAAAATTTAACTTAGAAATTAGTAGAGAAAAAAAATTTAAAATAAATAATTACAGAAATACCATTAGGTAGTTAAAAAATTAGTAGAGAAAAAATATTAAAATAAATAATAACATAACTACCAATAAGTAGGATTCTTAATGGGTTAGTTTTAATTCTGATAATTGTTAAAATTTAAGTTAGAAATTAGTAGAGAAAAAAATTTTAAAATAAATAATTACAGAAATACCATCAGGGATTTTTAGGGTTGCCCAGCGTTTCTTTCTTTTTTATATAAGATGTCATTTACTATAATTAGTAACTTTATATATAATATTAATTTGTATATATGTAGTAATTACCAATCAAACTATAGGTATGACATTTAACAAATCAACACCAATTTTAATTTCATATATATATATATATATATATATATATATATAATCGTTTTTTACATATATCTCCCTAGAATAATATCTACAATATTTCTTCTCAATAAAATAATTATCATCTTTTTATTGCATTTAATGTTTTTTATATTATTAAACATTTCGATTTTTTATCAAACAAAAGCGAACAAAAAACGACGTCGTTTTTGGTGAAAATCTCCAACGCAAAGCGTAAATGCATTTTAATTTTTCTTTATTTTCCGTTCTCTTGCAATGCTTCACCTACCCACACACACTCAAGCGCTTACGTCATATTGGATTCTCCCTTTTTGCTTTTTTTTTCTTTTCTTTTTATTTTTATTTTTTATTTTTTATGTAACTCATTCCGTCGCCATTTCACTTCTCTTTATCATTTATGGGATGATATTTTTGGAAGTGCCAACGAAAGGTTCTTCTTCTATTTAATCAGATTGTTCTCTTCCCCTTTCTCTGATTTTATTCCTGTGTATGTTTATGATACGGACCAAATTGTCCTCATGGGGTTTCCTAATCATTTATTGGGCCGTGGATTGAGTTTTGACTTGTATTTGGCCCAAAATCATATCAGGCCCAAGAAGAGGAGTTAGGGCAAGTTTGCTTATTTCTTGCCCATCAAGTATCCTCACCTATAAATAGGGAGTTACTCTCAACTTATCACTTCTATGCTCTCTCTTACATATCACACTCGATTATCTCTCGATAAAAACTGACTTGATCGTTGGAGCTTCTACGCCGGGAAACCCCTCCCGGCGTTGCAGGTACCCCTCTAGCGGAAGGATCCCACGTCATCGTCTCGACCATTTTGGAGCAAATCAAGTGGCGCCGTCTGTGGGAAAGATCTCAAGCTAAGACGTGAGATGATTTGAATTTTGGGATCTTCTCCATGAGGTTGAAGATAATGAGCGGCAAGATCGAGGAAGAACGGTTCAATGTATTTCTTGGAAAGTTCTTTAACGGGAAACCAAGAAAAGGGCTCAAATCTTATGCTTGGAATCCAAATCTGATGAATCAATGAAGTACAAAGAGGGGAATGTAGAAATAAATACTTCTCTAACGTCGACCACAATCTAAAGAGAAAAAGAAATCAGAGTAGATTCACGAGGCATGAAACGAGTCCAAATGAGTCAAGAGCTTGACAAATCCGAGGTGGGAGAAGAAATGAGAGAAGCATCAGTCAACCCCGTCTCAGTGTTCGTCGATCCATGTCCACCGAGCTAAGTCTCGCCGACCTCATCTGACGAGATCGAATCTCGCAAAACCTGGATCTGCTGAGCCATCCCTCGCCAAACCTATGCTCGCCTACCGAATGCCTGCCGAGCTGAAACTCGCCGATCCAATGTCCTCCGAGCTGAGTCTCGCTACCCAATGTCTGCCGAGCTGAGTCTCGAAAACCAATGCATCTGAGCCGAATCTCGCCGACTAGGCAGTGCTCGTAGATCAAACTCAATGATGGGTTACCTGAGGGGTAGCTACAGTATGCGTGGAGGTTTAGAATACTGTTAGAATCTAATTGGATTCTAATAAACAAGGGATGAGTAAAGACTTGTGCAACAAGTCCTATGTACCGTGAAACACAAAAGGGAAGTCTCCTTGTTTACTTAAAATTCTTTAATTTGTCATTAATTGTTTCTTTTATATAGGAAACTTTATTAATTAAAAAGAGTTTTTGTGCATCAAGACAATCCAATAGTCCTTATGCGTATGAATTTTTAAGAAGGAAAAGATTTCCATCATTATCTTTTATATTTTATTGTCATTAATTGGTTGTTTGTTTACATGGGAATTCCCATTAGATTAGGATGACAATATTGTAATAAGGCATGGACTCTTATTCCATATCTTTTAAAAGAATTCCTTCTACGTCTCTAATTTGGTGAAACCTAATACAGGAGTTTTCCCAGACTATAAAAGGAGGAGCATGAACGTAGTTTACTGCATCCTTTTTATCGAGAGAAGAGTTCAGAGAAAATATTTTTTCCTCTCGTTTTTATTGCTCCATCATGATACGTGATTTTCGTAGAAAATATATCAGCATCAAGGCTTTATGGTGAAGACACCAAGATTCAACGAGTATCACAAGTTTGCTTCTTCTATACAAAAAGAAGATCGGTTCTTCGGGAGAGGGGCTTAAACAGATCTCGGGAGGAGATCGATCCGCCGACTGAGGGATTCAGCGTTGAAGGGAGTTCAACCGTGCGGAGCAAGGGACGTGCTGCAAATTGAAGATTTCTAATTCAGCGTAGTATACAAGAACGACGTTAACAAAGAGGGAGTCTTTGTATTTTGATTAAGTCCTACTATTGTATTCGTAAAACTAAAAATTAGTAAATTTTATTTGCAGGTCCCCGTGGATGTAGGGTACAATTGTATCCGAACCACATTAAATTTGTGTCTCGTTTATTTCTGTTTTTACAAACTGTTTCACGAACTGTTGCAGCACTTCACGCAACAGTAACGAAAAACTGAATCTGACACAAATAATTTATATCTGCACGAAATAAATTATATCAATTGGCATCAAGAGCCTATCACTAGATACACTTAGTGAGATTTTGGGATTTAATTCATTTTTATTTTTTTTGTGCAGATATGAATAATCATTTTGAAGGCGCATTCCTACCACCTCTCTTGGGTGAATTGAACTACTCTGATTGGAAAATAAGGATGAAGATGTTCATCAAATCTATTGATGAATGGGCATGGCACGCGATTCTAACTGGTTGGACACCTCCTACCTCAATGAATGAGTCACACGAGATCATTCAAACGCCAAAAGAGAAGTCGAGTGATGAAGAAATACGAAAAGCAGATTGTAATTCC